AACTTTGAAAACTTCATAAATTTTAGAACATAATTAATAAAGTTTAAGATTTTTCTTGATTCCAATAAAATATGTTGAAAATAATTTATAAATAAGATTAGATGGACTAATTTAAGTAGGGAGTCTGTTTAATAATTAAAGTTTTTAAATTTTATTTCTTTTTTAAATAATTTTAAAAATATAATTACTATTTTTGTATTAAAGGTGTTTGTAATATGAAGGGTAGTGTGGTTGCTTCTTTTTGTGGTTTCGATCGACGAGGAAAGGAACCAATTTCTTCAAGGCTCAGAAAAATGAAACAATGAAAGTGGGGGCTGTGTTGTGTGACTTGACAAAGCACATCGAGCATTCCAACACACATAAAGCAGCGACGTCCGATTGGCCGGTAAAGAAATGAAATACTTAAATTGTGTTGGCCAAAAACAAAGTAAAAATTGTACTCTTGACTTTTTGAACAATGTCGGTAAGATGCTCTTTCATCTTGAAGTACAAGACAATTAAAATAAAATTATATATATTAATAAATTATAATAATGACAGCTTACAAATTTATTTTTTCATAATAAAATTATAAATTTTTAAAAATATCCTTGCACAACCAATCATTATATTATACTATTATTTTTAATTCTCTTTTTACTCAAGGATTAATATTAAAAAAATATAATTGATAAAAGATTATTTTTCTTAAATTATCTTATATTTTAGAATAAATTTTTTTAAAATTATCTTATAATTTAAAACAAAGAAAGTATTCCTTTCATTTAAAAATAAAAGATATTTTTAATCAAATCTCACTCCTTAATAAAGTAGTTACCTACTTTCAAACTAACCCTATATTTTTATATTTATTCCTATTAAATACTCTATAATAAATATAAAGTCATTATCAATAAGGGTACTTTTAAAAAAAAGACAATGATTACATCTCAAAATATTAAAAATACTTTATATTTTTTAACATCTAATTTTTTAAAAAATGTCTTATCTATTTTTGAACAGAGGGAGTAAAGTAGAGAGTATTATACCCAAAAAAAGATAGAATAGAGAGAGTGTGACATTTGACATTTACTAGGATAATGGCTTTAATGTAAAAATTAATTTTTATGAATTTTAAAATAATTTTTTTATATAACCATTAAATATTCAGTGCTAATATATCACATTGATTTATTATTAAGTTTATGTATTGTCATTGTGGCAACATCACCCCCTCTCGTGATAGAAATTATGGGTTTGAAACCAACATCATCATGTTTAGGTGTGTGTATCTTCATTTTTTTTTTATAGGAAAACGTTGGGTTATAAGTAAATTTTGTTAAAAAATTTAAAAAAAAATAATTACTATTTTGCATTAAAGGTGTTTATAATATGAAGGGTAGTTTGGTTGCTTCTCTTCATGGTTTCGATCGACGAGGAAAGGAACCAACTTCTTCAAGGCTAAGAAAATTGAAACAATGAAAGTGGGGGCTATGTTGTGTGACTTGACAAGGCACATCAATCATTCCAACGGACATAAAGCAGCGACGTCCATTTGCTAGGGAAGGAAATGAAAGGCTTAAATTGTGTTGGCCAAAAACAAAGTAAAAATTGTACTCTTAACTTTTTGAACAATGTGAGTAAGATGCTCTTTCATCTTGAAGTATAAGATAATTTAAAATAAAATTATATATATTAATAAAATAAATTAATGATAATTTGTAAACTTATTTTTCCATAATAAAATCATAAAATTTTTAAAAATATCACTGCATATTTAATCATATGCTATAATATTATTTTAATTCTCTTTCTACTTAAAAAATAATATTAAAAAATATAATTAATAAAATATTATTTTTCTTAAATTTTCTTGTGTTTTAGAATAATTTTTTAAAATTATCTTATAATTTAAAATAAAGAGAGAAGAATAGAGATAGAGAATTGTGCCAAAAAAAAAGATAGAATTGAGAGAGTGTGACATTTGACATTTACTAGGATAATGGCTTTAATGTAAAAATTAATTTTTATTAATTTTAAAATAATTTTCTTGTATAACCATTAAATATTCAGTGCTAATATATCACATTGATTTATTATTAAGTTTATGTATTGTCATTGTGGCAACATCACCCCCTCTCGTGATAGAAATTATGGGTTTGAAACCAACACCGACATGCTTAGTTGTGTGTATCTCCATTTTTTTTTTATAGGAAAATGTTGGGTTACGAGTAATTTTTTTTAAAAAATTACTATTAAGTCTATTCTCACAAAAAAAGAATTAATATTACATCTAAATGAAAGTAGTTGTTCTTTTTGTTTTCAAATATAAGAAAAATTATCGTATGTCTTTTTATTTTTATTTGTTAGCAAAACTATAAATTTTAAAAAGCATTTATTAGATTTTTTTTCAAATTGTCCCTTATAAAGTTAAAGTTTATTTTCATTAGATAAATTTTTTTTATTAATAATAGAGATGATTTAGTCCAATTTTTTTTAATTTCAAACATAACTATTAAACTTAAGCAACTTTCTTAAACTATGTAAATTAGTTAACTTTTCCTATATTTGAAAACGGATAGAGTATTCCATAGACTTTTTCCTTTTTTTCAAGAGATGAAAACTCAAATTTAAAATATTGTGTTTACTATTATAAAAAATTGAATATACTAATTTCTTGATTATATTTTTAATAAATATGGGTTAACGTGATCTATATGAGCAAGGTTGGGTTTAACTCATTTTTATATAGATTAAAAAAAATTTAAACTAACCCAACTCTTATGAATTGATGGATTAAATAAGTTAACCCATCAATCTATTTATTTTTTATGATTTTTAAAAAGAATATACCTAAATGATGAGTTTTAATAGGATATTACATGCAGTTGAAAAAATTCACATCATAAATACATAAAATTGAACAATTTTATCTTGATTCATTTAAAATCTGCTTGTCTTGTATGGTTGTAATATCAAAACTCCTTCCATTTTTTATTTTTCAAATTTTAAATTTTTTATAAATAACATGGTTAAGTGGCCTAACCATAATCCATTAAAGATTAGCCTTTTTAATTCATAGGATATCTAATTCAGGAAAGAAAAAGTTTATTTTTATCTTGGTTAAATTTTTTAACTCAACTTGAATTTTAGAACAGGTTATTTGGGACAACTCATATTCTTAACTTCACTTGAACGTATGTCCTAATCCTCTTAAACTCTTGGGACCTAACTCATTAAAATTTTTTCCATGTAAACAAATTTTGCCCTCTCAGAATAAGAAATATGTATTCATGTTGATTAAAAATATCTAATTTGTATGATTTTAGATTAGGAAAATTTATTAAATACAATTTTTTTTGGTAAACATTAACTACATATCTTTAGTTGATTTATAATTTTTTAAAAATTAAGAACAATTTGCATAATCTCTTACTAAATTGACTTCAGGCTGTAAATATTTTTAAAAAGTATTTTTTTAATTGCTCATAAGTGTCCTCTTATGAATAAGAATCATCTATATTTAAGGCATAATCAAACACTAGATGTGAGTATTTCTTTCAATAAAAATTTAAATTTTAATTTGTCAAATTATGAAAAACTAGTTCTTTTTGCTAAACTCAACATCTGTTGGTTTTAGAAAATTTTTTTACATTAACTTTTAAAGTTTATTAACTTAAAGAGGCAAGGATGGGGCGGAATATGAGTATAGGTTAAGAATTTAATGCCTCTTGATGTTACAAAAGAAAATTATTAACTTGAAATTTATAAAAATCAAGTTTTCAAAAAAAAAAAAAGTTGAAAAGGATTTTACATATGTAACTTAAATTTGGATTAATTATACACTTTGACAATTTATAATTTTTTGGTATTAAACAATAATTTATAATTTTACAATGCACCCGCCTAACTTCTTACATGGCCAAATTATACATTACTCCTCTGAACTTTGAACCATGTATATATAACCTTCTTAACATTTGAAACTTTACAATTAACTCCCATCAACTCTTATATTTATGCAGATAATTTCATATGATTAATTTTATATATTAATTATCTATACATAACTTAAAATTTAATTGGGTTATAAAATTTAATCAAGTTATCTGTATGTCAATCAAAGTTTAGGGGCTTAAATGCATACAAAAATAAAGTTTAAGAGAGTATATAATTAATAGTTAGGGGTTATTTGCATAAACTTAGAATTTTAGAAAGATTTATTATTAAATTCTAAAGGTTAAGGGAGTTATATACACATGATTTCAAGTTTAAAGTAAGCGTGTATAATTTAGCCTTCTAATGTTTATGCATATATTTCCCATACTACTAGTTTTGTTCATTACTTACACGTAAATAACTTAACGTTTGAGGGGATTATTGCACACACAAAAATGAAATTAAAGATGATATATAATTGATAATTAAAGGTGGAGAGTTATCTTCACCGCACAAATCAATAAATTTAGGGAGTTTCATCATTAGGTTTTAAATGCTAATATGGTTATTTATACTTGACTCAAAATTCAGGGAAGATTTGAATAATTCAACTTAATAACAACAACAATAATTTAAAAATTAGTAATTAATAAATTTATCTTGTGAAAATAATTGAGCAAACTTGGATTAATTATGCATTTTGTAAATTGAAAATCTTATATATTAATTACATCCATTTTATTATTTTTTAACTATTTGAATGAAATAGAAACTAAATTCAATTTTGATATAACTCTAATCTTTATAATAAAATTTTAAATTATGTGCTGATTTGAAGTAAATTGTGTTAAATTCAGATTAGTAAAGTAAATGTTTGAGTTAGTTCATAATCCTTGTTGGCATTTTTGAATCTAGAATGATGAACCTTACAAATGGATCAAATAAAAAGGATAAAGAACAATTAAAAAAAAAAACCTATCTAAGTTAAAAACAAAACACGATTAAAATATAATAACTCAGAGTGATATTTTCTCCTTTTTTAAAAAAAATTGCTTGACTTGAAAACACAATAATTTCAATCGATATATATACACAATAATAATTTTAATCCGAACAATAATTTCATATTGAATCCTAATTGATATATATGCACAATAATTTCATGGGATTGAAAAAACAAACATCTTACAAACACGACAAATAAGATCATTCACTTTGAATCTTTTCTTCATCAACACCCTGGTTTTCGGAAACTGCCACTAGATGAACCTCTGGTATTGAAACATATGAACATTAGTCAGCTCTGAAAACAAGCAATAACATCAATCAACATATTCATTTTGCTGGTGTAGATAATGTATTGACCGTTTGTGCTTGAGAGTTTTTCAAGCCTTCAGGGAAAAGCTATGGATCAATGTGAATTACCAAGATGTTGAAGCACCTGTTTCTGACTTCTTAGTCTTGTCCTTTATGCTGAGTGACTTAAATGGTGACTTTGATTCATCAATTAGTTCAAGCTCAAGTAAAGCATCCTTAATGGCTCGAGACAAGTTCTTGTCATCATCAGCATTATGAAAGCACCCTCTTTGCTTAGCATCATTTATCAACTTTTTCCAAATAGAGCCACTATGTTTTAGAGTTTCTGCATTTCCCAATATCCAGAGACAATGCCTACCAAAAAAAATAAACAAGCTCTAATCAACTCAAGCTTTTATACTTACAAGCTTGGAAGCAACAAGATGAATGTAGAAAGTTTAACTTCATGATTAGTTATAATTTTTCACTCTTGGATTTTTTCCTCAATCTAGATGAAGATAACTAGGATTTGGACCCTGTGAGTGGCTGAAATCCACTCACCCAATGAGTAATTTAAATTTCAATTATAATCATTAAATTTCATCAATACTTGAAAATTATCAAGATACATTTCTTTCAAAAATTCAAAACAACTCTCACAATTAGAACACTCCTCACATATGTTGTTCCCTTTAAAAATTTCAATTTTAGTACTTTTTTGAGTATTATATGACAATCTATAATAGTCATTCAATTAAATCAAATAATTTTTTTTAAGTGAGACACCCATTGATTTAATGGATTTGTGCCACTCATTGAATCTAAATCCAGATAACTTTCAAGGTTAGAGAGCCTTAATCCCTATTAAGATCAAGTTTTTAATTCTTGAACACATATCTGATTTTGGTCCCAATAAGTAACATACCTGGCACGAGTAAGAGCAACATTTGCTCTTTGTCTATTAGAAAGAAACCCCACATTTCCAGACCTATTAAATCTGACAGTGGAGATCATTATGATATCTTCTTCACCACCTTGAAAGCCATCAACAGAACGAACACTGACAGAGAAGTCACCATTTGAAACCAAATTGTTTTTCTTCACTTTCTCTTGGATTTCAAAGACCTGAGCAGCATATGGAGATATAACTCCTATGCTAACTTTCCTTCTGCTGCTGAGAAACCCTATAGCAGAAAAACACATGGGGACATTCTTATATTCAAACAAGTCTTCTCAAGTAGGTACTGTCAATTGTCTAACCAATTGTAGAGTGTTCATGCATAAGAGTTAGCAAAAAAAAGAAAAAAGAAAGAAACACACGTGATCCTTAAAAAGAAAGGAACCTTTATGAAGCCCTCTTATAATCTCTGTGATGGCAGCAACCTCCACCATGTTCTTCAAGCTCTGTCCTTGACCATATTGCTCTTTGCCCTTGGCTATATTTATAAAAGAGAAGGAGCCATACATTTTTCTGTCTAGGAAGCGTTTACTATAATTTGAATCTCTGACATTCATGCCATCCACAAGTTTCCCTTCATAGAATTCCCTATTGGGGAAGAAGCTTATAGATGGATGCATTCTATACTGGACATTAAGCAGATGTTTATTATATCCCAAAAACACCAGCCTCTCAAACATGCTTCTTCCAAATCCAGCTTCATCAGAAATCTGAAATTTGATTGTCATCTACACATTAGAAAGTGATCTTATCTAATCTACACAAACACAAAACAAGCACGTCAAAAACTAATCAAGTCAAAACTTCGGATAGTTTTATTATAACCTCTAAGATACCCTATTACATAAAAACTTGTTTGATTTGAAGAATGGATGAAACATAGCCAATCATACCTTGTACTTGAAATTTAATTTTAAAGAGTAGGCAATAGCAAAGAATGAACCCAGACAGCTCAGTCATATAAATTCAAGTGCCACTTGCTTGGCCCCAAAAAAAAAAAAAAAGGAAAAAAAGCCTCTAGATTTAAAATTTTAAGTTGGAAAGTGAATAACCTAGAATATTTCGTTATAGCCTCTAGCAAGACATCATGACAAAACTCTATTACCTTGCTCTTAACCATTGCAGGAAGTTGTCTCTCATCACCTATGAGAATAGCATGTCTTACACCTGAAAGTTGTAGAGGTATAATAGATTCACATTCTTTGAGTTGAGCTGCTTCATCTATAACTACAAAGGGTAGGGGTGTCATTCCTTCATTGAACAATTTGATGGAACCCGACGCAGTGCAAAAAATTAGGCACGCCTTGTTCAAGCAAAAATTGATTATTTCATACTGGTTTTTAAATAGTGGAAGTGAAGTTTTCCAAGAAAGTGATCTAAGTATCCTAAGACACTCATCTCTTTCCAATCTTAGCCTTCCAAAGCAAAATGTAACATCTTTTATTGGAATATTTGTTCCCACAAACATAAATGAATCTTGGATAGGCTTGGCAAAGTTTTGATGAATCTGGTTGCCACTACAGATGGAACCTCTTTGCACCCCTTCCTCCATAGGAATTTCTCGTTGGCTGACAGAATTTCCTTTTCCATCAACATTGTAATTGGGAATTTCTATGAACTCATTTCGACACAAACAAGTTTGAAGGGTTTCTATCAAATCAAGTGCTCTACACATCTTCTTTGCCACCTTGAATGGAACAAGTGAAGTTGGTAGTTCTGAGTATAATGTTTTCAAGCAAGACTTGAGATTCTCACCTATGAAACCGAATCTCCTCTTTATAAACTGAACTTCAACTTTATAAGAAAGGTATTGATCTTCAATGTAACTAAATCTCATCTTTACAAATTTCTCCAATGTCAAATAATCATCTTTAAGTTCAAGTTGCTTGTATGAGAGATATAATTGCTCTACATTGCTGTAATTAAGCTTAGTAAATTCCTCTAATGACATGAGATCATTAACCTCCTCATACTTTGCATCGATCTTAGATAAGAGATACTGCTCATGAGGTTTCTCGAGCAAACTGATCATTGATTCCAAGTGATGCTTCCAACCGCTCTGTGGATCAAGACACTGCTCAAGCTTATCAACACGATAATCAAGAAAGATATCAGGAAGGCCCCAGTAATTATCAACTTTCATTCGAGAATTATTCCCAAAAAGCACTATGTCACCAAGCCCATAGGTATCAAATTGAAGTTGATCTTTAATTAAACTGCGCAAGCGTGCTGCCACTTCCAACACAGCAATATTTGTTGGAGCACATGTTAATGTTCTTGTTTTTAGTTTGAATAGGGAAAATAGCACAGAAACCACTGTCTTCGTTTTGCCAGTCCCAGGAGGGCCCCATATAAGTTTCACAGTGTGATTGTGATGACATTTCCTCATTGCAACACTACTTAATACAGCATCTTCCTGGCATTCATTCAGATTCTGAGATCTGATTATGTTTGTTGCAATGGAAATGTCTGTATCATGGTGCTCTATAGGAGGGCAAACGTGACTGCTCCTTCCAATCTATAAAATAAGACATAATGAAAGCTTCAACATGGATGCTTCATAACTATCTGGAGAACTAGTAAACTTGCTAGGTATGTTGTGTAGTGTTCAAGTGAGCTATAACAACGAACATAATACATTTTCATCAAAACCTCAAGCAGCATCACAATGCATATTAATTAATTAAATAACAATATTTGATTTAGGTGATGTTTCCTAGACAGATTTTTATAACATAAGACATGTGAAAATTCTAGAAGTTGGCATCGAATGTGTCTCAATTATTGATTACTGATCTTTCATATTAATTATTGTGAAATATGATGTTCATGTATTAAATTCTATTTGATTTGATCCTCACCTCTGTATCAGATTGCAGAACTTTTCCAATGACATTCAAGTTGGCGCCTTTCAGCTGTGAGCTCAAGCTCCTCCAAATACGAATGTTGGTTGTCAAGTTTATGAGGTAAGAAGCGTAAAGCTTTTGTGCCTTCTTGCTCCCCATGTCTGGTTCAATCTCCATACTCTTTGATGAAAGTACTGTGATCTGACCATTGTTTGATCCTTGAACATAAGCAATGTGATAGTATCTTCTAGGTTTGTTCAAGTCTTGAAGGCTTTTTGGCCTGCTATCGGTGAGGGCGATGAGATCTCCAGATTCAGGTTCATATTGTCCACCACTAGTCCCATTCAACGTCATTTGATAGAACAAGCCCTGCCTCTTCTTCAGCCTCTTGTATGTCAGGATTTCACGAGCAGGGGCTTGAGAAATGCCCTTCAAGCTCGAACACAGATCACTATGTGTCTCCTCAATCAGTGAAGGAATAAAGGATTTCATGTATTCTGATGCTGTCGAAAACGTCAATGGGATCTTTGGCACCTGACAGAAACTATGGCTTTAATTTCACTTGAAATATTGATTAAGCAGTTTCATTGCAACCTTTTGTTTAGAGTTCTGAGTTCAACATTTCACTTTCTATATATGTAAAAGAGAAATTCAGAAGAGAAGCTAGACCACCATAAAAGAACAGAAAGAGCGTTTGATTAAAATAATATAGCATACTTGAAAGGGGAAATTACCTTGTTTTTATAAAGATTTTCGTTGACAGCATCTTCAATAGTCCAAGAAAACACAATGTCAACTAAGCTGGTACTCCCTTTTTCCCTTCCATCACGAATCATCATCTCCATCATTTGATCACTTGTTGTGCAATGCTATTAAGGCTAAAACACAGAATCAGTCTCGTGCTTTTTCCCGGTTTCGTTGAAGTAAAACCAGAGAGCACAACTAAAGGCTAAGAAAGAGTTACGATGAAAGATGCAAAGAGGAAGAAGTTGACGACAAGTCAATATGAATAGAACCAAGAAAGAAGGAATAAGCTTTCATGAGAATGCTTTAAAGGTATATTTCGAATATGAACTGCTGGTGTATTGGAAACAATGAAGCAACTTCGGGGCTAAGGAACACGAAGAAGACTGAGTTTGGACTTGAAAAAACTTCAATGGGTAGTCGAATCGACAAGGGTAATATAGTACCCATCAAATGAGAGAGACACGGTGAAAACACACTTTTGAGACATTGTTTCTCATTAAATGACTCTCTCGTAGACGTAGGATATATTAAATGCAGCTTCATGCGGATTTAGTATTTTGAAAAAGATTCTGAAGAGAGTGGAATAAGAAAAGGAAGCAGAGGTGAAAGAGAGAAAGAAATAAAATACTTCTTCCTGCCTTCCTGTACTCTTTTTATATGATGAAGGGAAAAGAATTTTATTTTTTCATCATATTCATAAGTGAGTTAATAACTTTTCTCATAATTTTTTCATTTTATTCTGTATAAATTATTGATGAGAAAAAATATACTCCCTTCATTAAAAAAATGTAAAATATTTTTAATTAAATCTTATCCCCCAATAAAATAGTTGCCTACTTTTTAATTAATCATATTTTTCTATATTTACCCCTATTAAATACCTTGCAATAAATATAAAGTCATTATCAATAAAAACACTTTAAAAAAAGTAATGATCACACTTCAAAAGATTACAAATACCTTTTATCCTCAAAATCTCTATGAAATTAGAGGGCAAATCTAAAAGTTAAGTATGTGTTTGGTTTTCAATTTTTATTTAACAAAACTGTATTTGGAAGATCTAACTCTTTGTTAGATTTAACAAAAGTATATTTTAAATGTAGTTTAAATGTATTTTTGAGTGTTATCCAAACAAGCCCTAACAAGGAGTTACATGAAATATGCAAAGAGGGGAATGAGTTGTCAACGGGTCAATATAAATAAAACACGAACTGTAAGTGTTTTAGAAAAAAGGAAGCAACTTCGGATTTTTTTTTTTTTTTTGAACGAAAGAAGCAACTTCAGGTTTAAAAAACTTGAAGCAGAGTGACTTTTGACAAGAATCATATACAATGCAAGGGCCTGCAAAAAAAAAATGTTAACAGTTAAAGATTAACAAATAGTTACTATGTTGAAAAAAAAGTTTATATTATCACTTTAATAATAAATAATTTTGTGATAGTTTTTATTTATGAATAATTTTTCTAAAAGATTCAAATTTTATTGGATAGTGGAATCGACAAGGACAAGAGAAATATAGTACATAATGAGCGTGAAAGAAAAGAAATTCAATGCTCACTTTTTCAAACAGAAAAATTATATTCAGGTCTTATAAAAGAAAATTTATTTTTAAAATATCTCATGAATTTTACAAAATACTTTTAAGTCTCAAATCTTTTACATTGATAATTTAATTAAAAATATTGACAACTAGGCAATAGTCATTTACAACTTATTATTATAAGTTATCATTTTTTTTTTATAAATTGATGATGGCAATCTCCGATCTTTATATAATGCATGTTTGAAGAAACTTACTATTTAAGGGCTTGACATATAACCTCTAATAATCACAACTTCATGACTCATGAATTATGCGTTTGAGTACTCTTGTGTTCAAAACTTTAAATATCTATATTAATTAATCATATATAATCACAACTTTTCTATATTATATTTTTTATTACAATTTACAATTATCATACTCAAGAGCGTGTTATCAATGAAATTGTTTTCAATTCAAGAATTATGTGCGTGCATCGTTAAGTTTATTGTTTGACCTTGCATAACTTTTATTTTATTTTTTCAAAAAAAGGTTATCAAAACTATTTTATAATAATAATTTCTAATTTTAATATTTTATTAAAATTTGATAAATTAACAACAAGTAATCTGATAATTGATAATTTCTTTTTTTGTATTTGATAATTTCAAAATTTATAACTGCAATTTTGATAGTTGATAGTTGATAATTTGATGAATTGATTTCACATTCTATGATCATTAATGGTGATCATTAATGATGAGTGATCATCATAAATGTACAAGGAAGTCGTCCTTAATTATAAGTATTTGCATTTATGGTTGTTTTTCTATCGTGTTAGTATGTTTAAGATAGTGGCTTTTTATTATTGGGGGCAAAAAAAAAAGATATTGACTTTTAAAAATGGGCATCGTTTTCCAATGATTTAATTTTCCCAGTGTTTCCTCATTACTCATTCATATCAAACGTCCTTGAGATGTCGAAGCAGCCGCCTTTATAATGCCGTGCGAAGTTATTCGCTAATTAATTTTAGAGATATACTCCCTTCATCTATATATATATATATATATATATTTAGTCTCTAAATATAAAGAATTATTAATATATTTTTTATAAATGAATTATTATATTCTCATTAAATTAAAAAAATATAAATACTTTCATTAATTTACTTTAAAAAATTATTTTTTTATTTATAATAATTAAGAATAAAATTAAAATATTACTGTACTTTTAATTAAATAATTAATTTTTATTAATTTATATAATTTAAGTAAAAATATTTTATATATAAAAATGAAGGAAGTATATTATGCAATTTAAAAAGAGAGGTCTGACATGCTCATACAGTACTTTTTCTTTACATAAATTTTTAGTTCTTCATGGAAAAGCAATTCTAGGGGCCAGACAACAATTGAAATTGAAAATAAGGTGAATTATTTTCTTTGTTCATTATTACCTGGAGAGAAAGTTAAGTATTTTAGTTCAAATTCAATTTGCATGGGCAATTAGGAGTCAAGTTCCTTCAGGTTGTATTTGGATGGGTGAATTTAAGTTAAGAATTTAAATTTAAAATTTTATATTAAAAATTTCACATTTAAATTTATAAATTTTAAAAGTCAATTTGATAAATTGAAAGTTATTTGAATTATGATAATAAAATATACTTTTGAATGTATAATTACTAAAAAAGACATTAACTTATGATGATTTATTTATTATACAAATGTAATATATTTGAAATTTATTTAAAAAATGTGATAAAGATTTTAAATAATATAAATTTTGATCTATAATGCTAAAAAATTGATCTCTAATTATTTATATTTTTTAAATTTATAATTTTAAAAAAATGGGATAAAAATTTGTAATTTTTATTATACATTAATGTTAAAAATTAACATGATTAATTATTCAATAGGACTTTAGCAAATTTAGTCAACATTATATGGCTAAATAAAACTAATAACCCTCCCTTTTCTAAATTAAGATAATGGACGTTTCCTAATTTACCTTTAATCTGAAAGACAAAACTACTTTTAAATATCATAATACCTTTATTCTCTTTTTTTCACACTGGTTTTGCTTTCACCCACCTAAAGATGTGGAGACAATACTACACCCGCAGTCATGATGGCAAAGAAACTAATAGTAGATGATGGAATAATTCACATCGGTGGATAAATGAAGTTAGAGATTCAGTTAGAAGACAACACGAAAAGAAGGCGAAGCAGATTGGAAGCCACAATTTAGGTTGAAAAATCACGAATGCGAGTTGAGGAAGTTCGAAACTATAACTTCTATACAAAGCCACACTAAAGTTGTAGACTCAAGGTGAAAAAGTCCGGTCAGACTCTGTTACAAAAGCCAAAGTTCAAGCAAGGATTTCTTGAGATTTTGTTTCATCTGTTTTGAGCAAATAATTATGTATTTTTCGTGTTACTGAACTACGATACTACATCATTGATATATGACTGTATATCAATTATAAATAAGTTTATATCTAATTGTCTGATTATATTGATTTACGATAATATATCAATGATATACTATTATATATCACTAATATATAAGTCATATCAGTAAAAACTTACCTATTTATTTATCATTGATATACAGTCATATATCAATGATATAGCATCGCAGATCAATAACGAAGTTTCCTTTTCAATGTCTAATGTCATCTTCATAATATATGGGAAAAATAGAGAAGGAGAGAGAGAAAAAGCTCTATGATATAAGATGGTGATCCAAGAAAAATTTTATAAAAAATTTTGATGAAGAAAAGCACTATGCAAGGGTTGAATATAATGATTCAAGAGAATTAGATCCAAAAATCTGATGAAGAAAATATTTAGAGATGATAAATTAAAAAGAGAACACACACAATACAATTTTTAATGATAAAAATGAAAGATTCAATTAGTTAAAGATTAGTTAAATCAAATATATTTTATTTTAATAATAAATTTATTTTGAGGATAAAAAAAGGAAAAACGCATCTAATTAATTTTATGAATGGGCCATATTTCAAAATATTTAAAAACTTCATCCATAATTTATTAGAGTTATAATTTTTGAGGCCATTGAGCTAATTTTTTCTTATTCAATTTATAATATAATTTTAAAAACTTGATATCTAATTATTACTTATTTAAATGATAATTATATTTTTAATAAATTAACTATTTTTTAAATAAAAAAAAAAGAGATTAAACTTAGAATAGTATGATCAAATAATATCCCACTTATCAAATTCATTTTTTAAAAGCTCCATCACTTTAAATTGATCAAAAGATTAAAAATCAAATAACACTTTAAAAGTCCTTTTGGTAAACTTAACGGACAAGGGAACCGAGAGTCTTCCAGTCATTTAGCCAAAATGATTAATGATTCATTCCTTTCTCTCTCTCACTAACTACAAATTGAAAACGCCTGTGACGCAGTCATCCTCATCACACACACACTTTTCACTTAAGCTTCAGCTTCAACTTCTTTTTAATGGTGCCCACAGCAGCATTGTTCCTTCTCTACCATCACGGCAAAACCCACAACCCTTTTTTGTCTCTGTCTCAGCACCACAAGGCTGAAGCTCTGTGACACAAAAATGGCGGGTAATTAAATTAGACAATCAAATCTTGAAATTTGGTTCTGATAACACTAAAAAAACCGTTGTGGGGGATCATCATTCTGAACTGGAAAATAGGTTTG